CTTCCTGGCGTCGTTAGAATTGGTGTGCAGCACGGAAAACAAGATCGACGCTCTGGACTATGGTTTTGAAAAAAAACTATACATTTACCACTAATGCATCCACATCGCAGGTGTCTCAATTTGTTTGCGTGCTCTCTGTTTTTTTTAATTAGTTTATTTTTCAAGGCTCATTTCCTGTAGCTTTGCGGAGCTGATATTCGTCTGTAATCTCACGCTCTAAAAAAATCGAGTGCATGCGAGTAATAGCGCACAGCACAACCTTCTTTTGAGCTGTACGCGTGCTTTCAGCTAGTCGATCAGCTTTTTATTTGCCCATGATGTTACAGTGCACTGGTCGCAGTACCCAGTACCCGTTAGCAGAAAAACATGTTAGAACGGTCTTTTATTTTTATCTTCCAGGGTATAAATAAAGTATTCTATCGTACCTATAGGTACGAAGGTTTATTATCTTGCGTTTTTTTTATAATATGTTAATTTGTTAAGGCAAAATCTCAGAAGCTTCACGAAACATCTTGTCCATATTGTGTACGCAAGTCAAATTAACTTTTTCATTCTTAGTATATATGCAAAAATGCTTCGTTTTGGCACCTATAATGAAGCCCTTATTTGTGTTTAACATAATTCAAGACCAACAATTGAAATTGCCTTAACTCCATTTTGTTAACAAACTTTGTAAGGCCATTTTCTCGCGAACCGAAGTCTGCAAAGGCAAACCAACATAATGAACAGGTAGGATAAATTCTCCTCTACCCGATTGTGGTTAAGGTTTGCAAATGTAGTTTTCGGTTCACGAGAAAATGGCCTTACAAGGTTTGTTTACAAAATGGAGTTAAGGCCATTTCAATTATTGGTCTTGAATTCATTAATGTTAAAACTTCTAGCGCTCTGAGTATGCTTCCTTCAAATTTCCGGTCATCGACAAAGTTACTCAGTTAAATATGAGTAATAGGGTGGGTCAACTTTAGAACCCCATGCTTTCCACTTCTTTTTCGATCTGTATTGAGGTCCCCAACAACAAATTTAACGAATTTGGTTATGACCTGCATTTGCGGATGAATCCATGCTTATGCACCTCTTATAATATCAGCGTCACTAGCTCACTGATCGTCTCTCCACTTGCGTTGCAGCTCCGACAGTATTTGGGCGACTATCCTGCTGACGGCATCCTAGGGTCCTCCTCTCGACACATTTTCTCGACGACATTCTCTGCGCTATGGGCAGGCATCTCCCTTCGCACTACTTCTAATCGAGGACAGTCGAAGACCACGTGCTCTGGCATTTCGTCCATATTTCCACACTACGGCAGAGAGGTGACGTTGAGTGACCGAACCGACTTACTGAAGCGACCATGACCAGACATGAACCGCGTTAGGTCCAAGTTTACCTTTCCATGCTTCCTGTTCACCCAAGTTGCATACTGCTTCCGACGAGATGGTTCTGTACGCACAAACGACTCACATGGCCATGAGCCGGAACGTACTGCTCAGTTTCCTTTAGTTCTGTTTCGTTTCCAGCGCTGCAACCCAGGCTGGACCTCCATACCTCAGTATCGACAACAACACACTGACCAAAAGACGCCTCTTGCTTCTGCTGGGGCCAGAGTTGTTCGGCATGATTCTAGGTTTCGCGTTGATGGCCTTCGCCGCCTTCTCGCAGGCGTATTCGACGTGGCTATTGAAGTTTAGCCGGTCGTCGACCATAACTCCCAGGTATTTCAGTACGCGATTCGAGGCTATGGTGTGCTCTCCGATGGTGATTTTTGCCCACTGCACCGGTTCGCAGTTACAGACTAAAAGCCATCCAGTTGGATGCCACCTCTTCCAGCGCCTCACCTGTTACCGACAAGACGTCGTCGTCCGCAAAGCCAACAATCTTAATTCCTTTCGGCCACTTCAGCGTTACAACGTCGTGCTTACGCTAACATCCCGATCCACAACGTTGGACCAAGGATGGAGCATTGTGGAACTGCCACCGTGATCCTAATTATTTTCTGTCCCTTGTCTGTCTCGTAGACCAGAACCCGGTCCTGGAAGTAGCTCTTTAGAATCCTGCACACATAGTCATGGACCCTCATTATTTGCATTCATTCTTATGATGGATTCCCAGCTGGCGCTATAGAACACATTATTGACCTCGATCGTTATCACGGCGCAATATCTCCTCTCCATTTCTGTTTAGACGCCTTCTCGGCTTTCTCGACCACAATCCAAATTGCATCCATCGTTGCTTTTCCCTTCTGGAATTTGAACTGTCTCTCCGACAATCCGTGCTAACTATCCGTGCATTTCATCAGCCTGTTTAGGAAGATCCTCTCCAAGAGGTTTCCGAGTGTATCCAACAGGCTTATACGATGTTGGATCCCCCGGTGGTTACCCGAGCAAAGTCCAGCATCAAAATGACAGCAAATTGAAATCAAGTTTTGATATCAACATCAATCTGAAATCATAATTTGATTTCAGTTTACGCAATTGACAAATTTGATACCAAATTTTGTTTTCATTTTGCTGTACATTTGCTCTTCAAAAATATGTTGTTGCGGGTTTTTTTTTTCATTGCCTTAGCATAACATCAAATTGAATACTTGTTTTGTTATTAACAGGAAAAGTTGATATCAAATTTAGTTTTCAGTTTGCTCTCACTGATAGCAGAAATAGTTTTCAATGTGATGTCACAGGAAGATTTGTTTGCTCTCAATTTTGATATTTTAACCGTTAAAATGACCAAAACGACAGCTACCTGAGTAATCATTATCAAAGAAATCATAACATCAAATTTAGATTTCAATTTGATCTCAGACTTTGCTCGGGTAGCTTCTAGCTTCTGCATCTTCCACCTGTCAGGTAAATAACTCTTTGCCAGGCATTTCTGCAGCTCCATACAGAACATGACCGGCGACGCTTGGACCGCCGCTTTCAACGCCACGTTGGGGATTCCGTCTGGACCGGGAGCTTTCGTCACCTTCAGTTAGTTAGTTAGTCGTGCTTTAGGAAAACTCCTTCCACGATAACTTTCAGCTCCTCTGGGCACATTTTAGCGGACATCGTTGAACCTCTGATCTTCGCCATCACGACACGGTATACGGTGCCCAAGGGGTTAGCATCAGCGTCTCGACACAGCTCCTTAAAACAGTTTGACTTGCTCTGCTTTAAATTTTGTTTGAGTCCGTCTGCTAGGGACACTCCTCTACGATCTTCTATCTCTGCTTCTGTTCTTGCTCTCTGAACAAGTCTTCTGGCTCTGTTACAACTAGCGTAGAGGATGCTAAGTGCCTCTTTCCATCTGTAAGCTGGGCGCCAGCTGTTTGGCTCGGCATGGTCGTGTCACATGCCCTAACTAACGTTTCCGTCAACTCATCCGCGTTCAGATCTGCGGGACTGCTGTCCACACGGAATGTTTTAATGAAAAGATCCTTGTCGAAAGTCTTCGTCTTTTACTTCCGGTCACAAGTGCTCGTCCTCTGTATTGCCACAGGATTCCGTTGACCGATGCTATACCTGTCGCTATTGGTATACTCCTCACACACTCCCAAATTCATGTTTGCAACCAGCGATGGATTGCAGAAAGTGACATCAATAATGGATTCCCTGCCGTCTCTGCGAAAAGTACTGACGGTGCCATCGTTGGACAGCCTAACTTCCACCTTTGACAGAGCTTCCAGTAGGCTGTATCCTCTTGCGTAGGTACATCTGCTTCTCCATTCCACTGCCCTAGCATTGAAGTCTACATCTCGTGGCACTGCTCCATCGGGTGCGTAGCAAAAGCATATGAAGAATCCGTTAATTTTGGCGATCACGAAAGCTTCGTATGAGCTCGTATCACTTCTAGAATGTGATATCTGCCCATAACTTGAATTGCCACTTATGCTAATATTTGCATCAAAAAACGTCTTTCCGACAAATTTTTAATTCTATTTGTTTATGTAGGTCCAAATCAAGGTAAATGATTCATTTAAATGAAAACTTTAATTTGATGCTAAAATTGTTTAAGTTTGTGTATACATGAGGTGATTTGTTAATCCATAACTAAGGCTTTCAATTTATTCAATTTCTACTCTAAGGTGTAAAAGGAGTAAATCAATAAAAACACAAAGTTTAAAAAATTTCAACGATCAACTATTTTTAAATCTCACATCTTGTCTCTAAAATTATTCCTTCAGAGAGAGAGTGAATTTTTTTTCAATAGTGATCTTTCATTAAGGTTGATTGATTGATTTATCTTTATTAGGGAGGCTTTCAGCCTGGGGCTGGTTCGCCTCCAACTTTCATTAAGGTCTAATTCATAAATTTAAACATTGATTTTCGTCGTTCATCTTGTTCAATTAAAATAAACAGTTGATAACAACACGCGGATTAAATGATGTGCGAACTGTGTTTCCGGAAAAGTGCCCTGCTGTTATAGATGGGTTTATTGTCCAGAAAAACAAATAAAGTAGGTAGCTATACAATTTCTTTGTAAAGAACTTAAAAATGTTGAATGTTTTCCTCTCTACTCAGCTACATTTTAAAATATAAGGTGAGAGCTAACAAACGCCCTAGTAGCACACTTGACCTAGAACAGTTATGATAACTCTTATGTAAATAAAAGTAAGTTCCTTTAACTGAATGTGACCAACCTGTGCTGCTTGGGTGAATGGAAGTATTTTATGTCAGCACTACGGATGCTCAAAACTGCTAGAGAGTGTCAAATAAGTGAATTCAAAGAACAGAGCACAAATAAACTTTTTTAATTGGGACTTTTTTTGGAAATTTACCTTTATATGTTTCAATTCAGCTCCCAAACGGCACCATTTTTATATAGACAAACCATAAAGCAGCAATAATTGCTTTTTTCAATGTTCATCCTCCGATGTATACATACTCATGCACGCATTTAAACACTTAATCAAGACACTACATTCCGGACTATTCCAGAATGTTCACCCTCAGAGGTTCTGTTCTATTCAACAATTGCACTTTTCCAACTTTGCTCTACATTGTGTCGGTGTGTTTTATCAATTGCAGATGCACCCGTTTGCGCAACGGACCGTGAAGAACTGCTCGGTGCACTCAAGCACGAAACACTGCAACTCAAGTGTGAGGTGGATGCATCTCCCCCGGCAGAATCCTTTCATTGGACGTTCAACTCATCCGGCGAGCAAACAGAGCTACCGGCGAGACTTCATTCCAGTGAGGTAAGTTTTTTCACCCGTTTATTTTTCCATCCCATCTTCGATCTCCGAGAAGGCTCACGAGGGAAGAGTGATAGTTAATTATCTCACTGACAGACGCTCCACATACCAGCGGCACTGTTATTAGAAATGTCGAATAAATTGTCATTTTCTAATTGAAAAAGAAGAGCTCCGCTGGCTGCTAGAAATTGAAAAATTAAATTGCCGAAAAAAAAGTCAGCCTATTCATCCAACTTGTTAATCGAAATGAGGCAAAAAGTGGTCTTCCTTTATTTTCTGTGGACGTGTTCGGGCTTTTTCAAGAATGAATATAAAATTAAGTTTCATGAAGAGCCAGTCGGGAAGGTGGCAAAAAATGTGCAGAGTGGAATGCAAAATAAAAAAAAAAAATATCCGCTTTCTTATGAGCACGCTAACAAAAGTCCTTGGACAATTTTCACACTCTTTTGAAGTTTGCCTTCCCCGCCGCCTTATTCTTCATTTTTTTTTCGATGGGTGTTTGCAGCTACCCTTTTGTCGGTTCTTATTATTATCCTTCCGGGGCTTTCCTTCTTATTATGCGATGAGATTTTTTCATCTCCTTGTTTCGTCTCCCCGTGGAACTATGATGGTTGCGCTAGCGCGTGTAAAGTTTTCCTTTATTATACGTCGATCAGGGTGGTGAATTTTCTTCATGCAAGCTGAAGCAAGAGTCCACTTTAATTTTGCCCTCAACGTTTCCAAAGGTTGTCAGATTTTTGTTGCAATTGTGCTCTTAAGTGTTAATGAGAAAATATTACCTAGACAAAAGGCAAATGGAATGCAATGGTTGTTTGGTGTTTTTCTTCAGCATGTTCTAGTTTGAGCGTGTGCCTCTCAGATCAAAATGTTAAGCATATATGTGTAATTTTAAAATTGAGCATTATTTTTTTAAATTTGCGTTGGATTAAAAGTATCACATCTTCGTTCTGTGCTCCGGTAATGTCATCAACAGCGGTGTTGTACGAATTAGTGATACGTAAATGACGGCGACGCACAGTGTGTCATGAACTAGCCTTCGACTAAAACGCACGTTAATAAAGTATTAAAAAAACAAATAATGTATTGTTATTCATACTACTCAGGAATGTTTGTGGATGCCTTTTGCTATATAACCAGTACATTAATTTTGCATATTGACACGATCCAATTTTGGCACGTTCCGTTTTTAATGCATTAGGTAGCATAAACCAAAAAAAACTGGAAAATTCGAGCGCAAGTAAAGTGATTTCATTAAGTAAACCTAAGAAAATGTCAGAATGCAATGTATGGACTTTATTGACAGGTTCATAGGAATTTTAGGTGGATCCAGCGTAAATCCTTGATGAATATTTAAAATTTCGAGGGTACTCACTGAATTTTGTTTCCACCAGCTCAGCATTCCTTTGCCGAGATTTTCACAGACGACTGCTATGCAATAAGTTTTATTGACATCTCATTAAATATGACATGAGACTCAGGAACACATTTTCCGGACCCAGCAACCAGCGTCATATTTGTTGAGATTTAAACAACATATATTTGCCAGGAACTTATCTGTGCAAATCTTGTCATACCGTATTTGAAATGGCGAACGTTAAAGTATATTTTGCAGTGTTGTGATAAATATTAGCTGTGGTGTCGCGTCGACATGTGCAACCTGTAGACGACACAGGGGTAAATAATTAAAAAAAAAATACGTTTAGATTTTTATAGAATTTATGGTCACCATTATAGCTGTACTTCTTTACTCCAGACCACAAGTGACCACTAATACACCATTTTATGGTAAGGCTCAATTAAATCTTCGACCTTGGTTTGCTTTAAATTAAATTAAAATTGGATTAAATTAAGTTCGGATGGTTTGCCTTGGTTTCTAAACATGTCGATATCATTAACCATGAGCGACCAACCACCATGCTGGTCGATACTAATATACGGCTTACAGTGAGCGAGTAACGGTTCCATAACAACGAGTTCGAACAATTTAGCAACAGCGCTAAGCAAAGTACCTGCCTGCAGATTTCATTACCTGATAATAGAAAACTAAAGTTGGTGTTGTGATTTCCCTGATAATAATTATTTTTTTAACGCTTAGTATATCAATATTGTGAGCAACAACAATATTCTTTTGGCATCTCATTAAAATCTGTGATCCGATTAAACTTTGCATCCGTTAGTAACACGTCGCGCCAAGTGACAGCCAAATATATTTTCAGATGTTCACCATTGTGTGGTGAACTGGAAATAATGCTCTTGCCTTTTTCAACGACATGCCCAGTGCTCTTCGAGGCGCAAGGCTTAGTGCACAAGTCTCGTCGAGATCGTCTTGCAATTTTTGTCATCATTTTGAATTTTTGTCCAGAATGAATGAGAAACAAACAATATGCAGCTTGACACATGCTCATCGACCATCGAAAAAGCTTTAGAAAGGTTGGGCAGGCCTGGTCTAGAAAGACGATTTAGGGGAAAATATGTCAACGCTTAAATTTATTGCGATATTATTTTAATGTAAAAATTTTAAGTTGGCAAACTTTTCTTTTAAGACGTCGAAGAACGCATTTTATAATTTTAAACATCTAATGATTGCTCACTGTTCTTCATCAGCAGTTCTTTCGGTCGATGCGTCGTCGACTTTGGCAAGCAACCGTTTAGTCACAAACGAAGTTTGTTTGTGGTTCAGTGGTGCACATTACCGCCTCCCAGTGTTTCTTCCCTGGACTAACCGAATATTGACTTGCTTGATTTACAGCAAACGCAATATCTGGTCTCGTTGCTTGTGCCGAGTACAATAAGTAATCTACTGCTTTTTAAGGGACATATCGCATTTCAGCGATTTCTTCAGGTGTTTTAGGGCACATCGACTTGTCGAGTCTTGTACTAGGATCTATGGGAGTTGCGACAGGTTTAGAGTCCGTCAAGTTAAACTTCTTCAGTATCTCTTCAATATAGGCCTGTTGATCAAGAAATAGTTCCAGACAAAATTTTGCTTCTCCAAGGTTCTTAATTTTAAAGTTGGAATTCAGGAATGTCTTCAATTTGTCCTTCATTCGTGGATCATTCGTGAAAACCAAGAAATGGTTCACGTAGATTGTCACGAATAGCATCCTTAGATCCACACTTGAACGAACAAAGTCGTGCAAAGCTTCATTTCCCTAAAAAAATTTGTATGAATCCATTTTTGGAATAGTTCAATCATTTGGGTTATCGTTCTGGTATGGTATTTTTTATTAGGGTTAACTGCGTGTTCCACACTCTGCTTGATTGCTTCAACACCTTTACAAAACTTACAAACTTGTGTTGTACTGGTTACAAAGCCTTCGTGTTGTTCCTTGTAGATATCTTCGTCTTTTAGTTGCCCTTGTAAAAACGCTGATACCGCATTAAGTTGCTCAATGTTGAGATCATACTGGGCCGCTAACGCCATCAGGAATGAATGGTGGAATATTGCACCACCGGAGAGAAGACTTCGTTGTAGTTGATCCCGGCTCTCTGAGAACAACCCTTTATCACCAGTCGCGCTTTGTATCGCTCGATTTCACCGTCAGCTCCTCGTTTGGTCTTGAAGACCCATTTGCTGCGGATCGCCTTCCTGCCACGTGCTAGATCAGTGAGAATCCAGATGTCGTTTTCATCTAGAGCACACATTTCCTCTCGCATAGCTCAGTGATGATGATCGGCACGTTCCAGTGCGTCAGTGTAACTTGTTGGATCTCCATTCATGCCCTATGGATCATTATATTCATCATCAGTGTGAATATTCGATAATCACCGAGGGCTAATCACACGGCAGCATGTCTTACCGTCTTAGAAGCTGCAAGTGGACTGTGCAGAGACAATGGCGGTACCAACGATGCCTGGTCGAGTGCTAGATCGCTCTGGACCGAAATCACTCACACATTCATATTCATCTAGCTACGAGGTGAACAGGGCGATGCGCTGGATGGTTTCTCCCGAGTTTAGCACATGTTACATTACTGTATTTGCAACTTGTGTAGGCATTTATGTAAAAATTTAAAAATCAAAGCAAAAACGCTGAACCATGCCTTTTTTTTAAATTAATCGGACTTAATTCGAACGCTTGTCAACCGAAGCGAGAAGCTGGCTTTGATCACTAATAGTCATAATGAATACCATATTTACCTTTCCCTTCAACACTAAACTACTGAAAAATCTCATCTTTAATTGTGGCACACAAAAAAACAGGGTGCCAAATACTAAGCGAATTTTTGATGAAAGAAATACTTACCTAAAATTTTTGGATGGTGTAATTTGACGTTCCATTTCCTTTTCTCTCTTTTTTCATCCTACCTGTCGTTATACTGAATAAAATCACCGGTTCAACCGACGCCCGCAAAATACATCCACGGCCAACGCAAAACACAAACACATAAGACCGGCTTATCACGGCTTAATTACACACCTACGTCTGACCTGGACTACGGAACGATATCATGCTGGGGACGAAACGCCATTGGAGAGCAAAAAACGCCGTGTGTATTTCAAGTAGTAGCAGCAGGTAAGTGAGGAAATACGAGACCAATTCAGTTGACTCGTTCCTAAAAGTGCACTCCAACGAGAAAAACGAGGGTCTTAGCGTTGACAAAAAAAAGAGTACTTACAACCCAAACCCACGTCAAGTTACGCTCTTAACGGAGTTTGGAACACCGAACGAAGAATGTCAGAAAAGCAAGCCGAAACATGATTCAAGGAGATAAATCAAAATTTAATTAGATCGCTTTTTAATCTACACTCGGCTGCTCTTTAAATGGCACCACTCCGGATGACTGATGGTTCGCCTCAAATGCGCGGTTTGCTCTTCCTGTACAAACACTTGGTGGTCGGTGGCTGTGGTCTTCAGACGTTTCCCGTTGCCGTTTTCTGCAACATCAAAGACTTTGCTCGCGCGCAATAAGTGTTTGTGCAAAGGGTTAACCGTGCAAGTGGAGGAAGAAAAAAAAAAGCACACAGAAATATCCAGCGCTAGATTCTGTACATAATCCTCTTTTTTTGTAGCCTTACTCTAACTCGGTTGATACCACTTTCTCTGCCAACATCCAACAGGGCGACCTTTTGCTCTTCAAAACTGCACGATATCCAACCAATCTTCCGATTCGTTACACATCGAATGCATCGAGGGTTTCGATGGTGGCTTGCCTCAGATGTTCCTGCTAGAGCTGGTTGAAGTTCCTGCCCTGAAGCTAGTTAGAAATTTAAGTTTACAGGTAAGGATAACACTATGTCATGTTCTTTTCAGGCTAGGTGATGGGATTTTATCATTGGAAAATGGCCAATGGGACGTGCCTGTTTGCTCTTACCTGCTTATGATTGTCTGCTTCCTACGCTTGTTGCCTTTTTGAAGAATGACAACAATTTAAAAACATATAATATGCCTCTCGAATGCTTCAACATGCACAAACATGTTGAAAACATCAAGATCATTCGTGAATATGCTGTAATTTAGCTCGACTGCTCTTGGGTTAAAACCAGTTAGAGATTCTATCCTGGTTCTTCCCGACATTTTTTCGTTTTAAGAGAGATTTATTTCGTTCAAATTTCGTTGACTAACCGAGCAAAAAACCGGTTGTAGGTTTATTTCAAAAAGAAAAGAAATAAAACAATTTTAACATTTTTAGGAAGTAGAAAAAACATATAGAAAGTGTTAATACATGGAAATTGCAATAATTAATTAATAACCCACTAATTAATTTCGGGAAAATTTACGTTTCTCGTTTTGCACCTATTGAGATGAGAAACAACAATATTCCTACACAGCGCAAAATAGCTTGGGTAATGCTCTTCGTTACCTTATACTACTACATGTTAACGGTTGATAAAACCGTTCAAAATCTCATTATTTTTTATAATAAGCTTTTGTCAACCCATCAAGCATCACTCACTTCGGCCAAGAAATACATTTCATCCAACAATTATTTTTTATTATAAGCTGTCACATCGCGTCAACGATCAGTCGCTCTAATTGCGATGCTTTTGCTTCCATTAGTTACCACTCGGTTCCTCTTCAACAAAGTACTACAATTCAACGAGCATGATAGAAAAAATTCAAAATAAAACTTCCCACTGTGTAGCACCATCTCCATCCTCTTTCCATCCACGATGTCTGGCGGTACCAGCTAGTTTTTATCCATTCCAGTGTATTTTCCACAATAAAGTTCATACTCTGTTATTGACGCTGTTGCTTTCATTCGAGATGCAACTCTTCCTGGTGTGCTTCATGCTCGGAATAACGAGTTTCCTTGTTGTTTTCAATTGTTCCAACTGCATTACCCATTCCCGGAAACTGTTATTATCATCGTGCTCATCTACCACCCACTCCCACCTGCGGATCCTTTCGCCTTTTCCGGTCTCAACCCAACCCTACGCTGACATGGTTGACTTCAACCACTATACTAAACATTTTTATCATTCTGTTTCTCGCCTCTCTTCCAGCATCCTCCGGTGCAATTTTTCTTAGATAATCTAGAGCCGGGAACGTCGTACCGTATCATCTTGTTTGCAGCAAATGCGAAAGGTCGCTCCGAGCCGGTGATAGTAGATGATATCACCTTCAAGGGAGTGGCCAAGTATACTGGTGAGTAGATTTGGGTTCAACCATACAAATCGTGCTGATGTATTTTCACACCGTCCACAGGGCAGGCTTCCGTAACACCTGCGCTGCGTGACCGTGTTGTATGTATGTGTGCATGTTTGGAGGACTGAGCGAAAAAGGACAGTGGCTGCTGTTGATGATATCTGCCGTGACATGGCTAGTATTTCATTCGTTGTTCACCACCAGATCTCCGTCTGTGATAGATGAGTGGTTTTCCTCGCCTCATTTAAATGGACTCGGGAGAATAATAGTGTAGCCAGATTTTAATTTACATTACCTGGCTGGTCGAATCTTCATAGCACAGTAAGAAAACAGGTTTATTTCATTTCATTTTTGGACTGAAGTACAGTACTGTTCGATATAATAGTAGCGCAGGCCAAATTTCATACAAAATGGCTTACTTTGACATGTTGCAGCATTGTTCTGGTAGTGTATATAGAGCAGAAATTTCTACGACAGAACTACATATGCTGAATTTAACGAAATACACTATTCGTTCGCTTACTGAACAATACTCTTTGATTATTTTTTTTCTTCACAATACCAGCTTATCGTTGACATACACAGATAAAAATTCTGAATATTAATTGCGATGTAAACATTCATTCACGTAAATTTGTATTTCATCTCATGCAACCGAGCAACTTGTAAACAAAGTTGTTTACAAAGATAGGCTTTTGTATACAATATTTGCTACATTGCATGAAATGAGTCAGAACTTTACATGATATATAATGTAAACGTATATGATATGTGACGCTCCATTTATGTGCATCATATTGAACAGAAATTTACACTACTTTTTCGAACTGTGTATATCAAACATTGAATAGCTTGCACCTTATTGTTAGCAGTTGTCAAAGATGAACTGAAGAAATATGTGATTTTTTGTAAAAATCAACAAGTCTCTTTCTGTTAGCGAACGTTTAGTGAATTACATTTTTTGAAGCACCTGCCGTAAAGTGGAATGTTAGGTAAATTTATTCGCATACATAACAGTTTTTGAATCAAAAACTTGTGTTAAGCAAATATTTCGACAACTATACACGTACACTTGTTAATAAAGGGGTGATGCTGTACCTTATGAATATCGAAAAATTGAGCAAGAACACATTTTCAAATTTGCTAATTGATTAAATTGATTTTTGAGGGTCATTAGTGTCTTATATTCAAACTAGAATAAATCGTAAATTATTAGTAATACAAAATTCATTCTATCCACATTTGATCCAACCAAACAGAAGTGGAAAATGGGCAGGGCTATTCTCACTAAGAATCTTGATGCAACCGGATTTTATCGCATTTTCTCTGGGACTTTCTCTAGCTACACCAAGCTCAATAGATTCGTAATCAGGTCTTGATCATTCTCCCAAAATTTGAGCTTATTAGGTTGCGATCTCCTATTGCACTGGCCCTTTAGAGGTAATATGAGAATTACTAATGGAAAAGTAAACTTTTTGTTCTCATCATCCTAACCTTTCGTCATAATGATTTACACGTAAGCTAGCAGATTATAAGATCACTTTTTCATTAAACATCGATAAAACTAATTATTTATTGATTTCGAAGCCTTGAACTTTCTGATATGATCAATCAACTGCATTGAGGGCAACACTTTTACTTGCAGTATAACATATTAATTAGCCTGGATTTTGTTACCCTATACAACAGCACAATTTTAAAACGGTCTACACTGATTGACGACAAATAAACAAAAACAAATTCTATTCCAACGTCGCCTGCTGAGCAGTTGATGGAGCATATCAGAAGAATATAATCTTCTTATTTAAATAATAAATAACTAACAAAACGTTCAATCAAAAAGTATTCCTCGGCAAAGTTGTAGCTGAAAAAATATCCTGTAAGTATAAATAGCAAGTTAACACGTAAATTGTTATGAAGAAATGCTAGGACTTTGAGAACAACAAGTTTGCTTTTCCCAAAGTAATTCCCATTTTAAATTCAAAGGGCCACCCAAATCATTTTAAAGTGGTCAAGATTGGTCAGGACCTGATATAGAAGCGATTGAGCTTGGTGGAGCAAAATCGATATTTTGAACGAGTTATCTCGACTCCTGTTTACTAATGTTAACTAATAAAACAATTTTCCATTATATGTAGCATGGAATTTAATTTCAAAGATAAATTTTCGTTAAAATTCAATAACGATACCACTTCACGCGTTTTTTGGCCCTGATACAACTAGTGCGAAAGGTGCTGAGTGCTTCGTTCCACCAGTAAGCTGGGTACAGTCTTTTCTTTGGCTCCAGTTCTCTCAGCATGGTTGTGTGACATTAGCTACACAGACAAAAATTCTGAATTTTACTGGTGATGTAAACATACATGCATGCAAATTTTCATGCATGTAAACTTCCTTTTCACGTAAGCTAGAAACTTGCAGGAAATGTCGCTTACAAAGATGAACAGTTGCATACAATATATGGAGTATATCATGATATGTCTTGTAAATTTACACGATCTACCTATAATGTAAACTTGTAGGATATATGACGCTTCTTTTATATGCATCATAGTAACGGAAATTTACACTACTTTTTTTTAACTATGTACACAGTTCGAAAAAGTAGTGTAAATTTCTGTTCAATATGATGCACATAAATGGAGCGTCACATATCATATACGTTTACATTATATATCATGTAAAGTTCTGACTCATTTCATGCAATGTAGCAAATATTGTATACAAAAGCCTATCTTTGTAAATAACTTTGTTTACAAGTTGCTCGGTTGCGTGAGATGAAATACAAATTTACGTGAATGAATGTTTACATCGCAATTAATATTCAGAATTTTTATCTGTGTAGCTAACGTTTCTGTCAAATCGTCCGCGTTAAGGTCTGAGGAACCGCTGTCCACACGGAGTGCATAAAAAAGAGATCCTTGTCGAAAGCCTTCGTCTTCCACTACCGTTTGCAAGTTCTCTTCCTCTATATCGGATCGACTGATGGTCGCTATAGGTATACCCCTTGTGCACTCTTCAGTTCATGTTTGTCAACAGCGACGGAATGCAGAATGTGACGTCAATGATGGATTCCCACACAGTTCAAAAAAGTAGTGTAAATTTCTGTTCAATATGATGCACATAAATGGAGCGTTACATATCATATACGTTTACATTACATATCATGTAAAGTTCTGACACATTTCATGCAATGTAGCAAATATTGTGTACAAAAGCCCATCTTTGTAAACAACATTGTTTGCAAGTTGCTCGGTTGCGTGAAATGAAATACAAGTCTACAAGTGACCCTTCTCCCCGCATTTCCCGCACAAATCAGATCTGTCAGGGCTTTTGCAGTTCCTCGACCTAAGCCCATGTACTTAAAGCATCTCTCCATTTACTTGGCAACCCAAGGGGTGGCTTTGAACGAGCACACTGAAAAGTAGGGCAACCTCATGCAATAACCGGTCGTAATTATGTTTGTTTAATCGTAGCCAATATATTTTTGAACAATGAGCATCAAAATTTTACTTTCAATAGTATACAGTATACAATACAGTATTAACTTAAGATTGTATGTTGATTAACCATGTGTTAAATTTGTATATTATGAGTATTTTTTTTGTATATTTGCTTCTGTAAAAAATGTCAAATTAGTGAGCTGATATCACGTTGAATATGGTAAAGTACATGTTTTATAAATAGTGAAAATTTTGAATCATAAATCATATTTAAAATCTCCTTCTCCCTCTCTCCATCCATAAAATTGTCATCCACTAGCCTCGAGAAGATCGGAAGTATTTGGTTCAATTCCTTTAACTTTAGGTTTTAGACATTAATAATGTGTAACCTAAATGATAACTTGTCTCTGTAAAGTTTATTCGATTGAGCCTGTACAAATAAAGTTATTAAAAAATATATATAATACTATTATGGGGTCATGTTAAATTTTAAATCAAATCGCTTTCAGACAGTACAAGTCCCGTATTTTAGTTAGAGCTGTCTAAGCATTATTTTCAATGTAAAAGAGAGATGTTGTAACAAAATTGCTTAGGCAAACAAAGCTTATAATAGATTTTAACTCATTTGAATATTTATTGTGTTAGGTTTTCTCGCTAAGGATGAGAACAAATGATGCAATTAAAATTAATTATTCAATTACAAATATTCAAAAATCATGTCTTTATCAAAAATTGATAGTTTTTCAATTTATTTTCATCTCTACCGCTATGCACAAAATTCAATTTATTTATTCATTTCGTCAAAGCAAAGTCGACTACATACAATGATTATTACCAGTGCTGATAAAATTAATTTATTCTACATTCAACTAAGGTGACAATGAAGACAACCTTAGCAGATAGACCAACTACCTGCATGCATTTGAATTTTGACTTATCAACATTCTTTTAGTTGAAGATGCTAATTTCAAATAACAGACTGTAGTGGTAATTTTTATACGATAGATGGAGTAGATGAAAGCATAGAGTTGATAGTTCCGTTAGAGTACGGCAGTGTGAAGATTGCATATAGATATTAGAATTGCGAGCTAGGACAACTCTTAAGGAAGGTACAAATCAGTTTTTTCATCTCTCTTTACCAAACTCCCCCTTTGGAGAGGGATGGTGAGGGGTGTCACCCACCCCCCCCCCCCCCGCCACCACTGGCAAAAATAGATGAAAACTGACCCGCTCAAGTACCAACGGTGTGTTTGAAACAGAGTATCGAAGAAAACATTTGTGTTTGTTCATTCGTGGCTGCATCATCGTCTTCGCCTGTGATGTTGCCAATATTAATATTCGTCTTCATTTTGGTGGGGGTCATTTTGAGAATCAATTGCAAAATGATTATTTTCTTTTTACACAAATATAGCACCGAAGAACATTGGGTGTTGGTTTTTACACACAGATCGATGAATAATTAATGCCTCATGCTGATTTGTTGATAATAGCGAGGTTTTAAACTCTGGGGTCAACATAATCTATTTGCCCAAAATAAAATTGATTATTTTACTTTTGAGGCTCGCTTCTGATTTTGAAAATTTGGTTTGGATAATCAAGCACTGGTGAATATCGACAAACGCGTATTCACTGATGTATAATGAACTCATTTGTTCATTTCGATCGTAAACGCAATTCATCTACACTGGGTTGATGCGCTACTCCTTAAGTGCGATGGTAAATGATATAAACAGGCACTGATTATTTAGATGTTTATTTACATACTATGCATTATAGCGGCGCCGGTGGTGTAGTGGTAAGCGTGATTGCCTCTCACCCCAGCAGACCTGGGTTCAATCCCAGTCGGCGCCGCCAGGATGTTTTGAGGCATAACATCTCTGATCACGCCTTCCTTCGGGAAGTAAAGCCGTTGGTCCGCAGTAAAGCCGTTGGTCTCCGGTTCATGAGTTGATGGGTCGATAGGTGTAGGGTCCAGGTGTGGGAACTGCCTCCCTGGCGTCGGTAGCATTGGTGCTCAGCACGGAAAGCAAGATCGACGGAAAACAAATCAATGAAAAAAATACTATGCATTATTTGGGCTATTTTCTGCATAGATTGTTCTGTACGATTTTTCAGAAAATGAATTCCGTGTTGACAGCAAGTTTTACTGTGCTAGATTTTCTTCCGAATCTGTGCGCAGTGAAATAATGTCGTTGATGACGAAAAGCATTGAAAGTTGGCGGCGCTCCTTAAGTGTTTGTATTTTGTTAAGCATTCAGCGCGCTTCATAGGGTGGTAATGAAAATGTAGTTCAATTCAATTTACATAAAGCATATAAATGGAATTGTATTTGGACATATTCTATGCGTTCTTCATGTATGGAAATGTATTGATTCCATACTGTGGTAGTATTCCAGAATTGATCTTACATATGTGGTATATATTAGCTAAATAGTGTCGAAATTATGATTGAACCTTTTAATGAAGCCAAGCATTCTGTTTGCTTTATTAATGATAGTATTATAATGTTCTACAAAAGTTAGTTTGGAGTCTAAGATTACGCCTAGATGTTTTTTTTTTTTCTATAATTTGGTTGCCCAATGATATTTTAATATGCGGTGTTTAAATTTTTAATTTCGTGTTTTCATAATTAAAAAAGTTCTGGACACGTTTTGAATTCATTCTCGACTTTGGTTGCAGTTGATTGCATAAGTTACAATAATTTTGCAAATTGGTTTCAGGGTTTTATTTTTTGTATAGTTTGTGAGCTTTCTGTTTTTTATTCTAAAAATGTTTCAGTTGTGGATTGAAACACACTGGCAGTCTTTTGTTTTGTGTTCGTCTTTTTTTTCGTTGGTACAGTTTCTAAAATTAGGCTTTGCAGAATTGAGTGAAATTTTCCTACTTCAGTGTCGACATTTCCTTCAATACTTATTATATTCTGCCAATTTATTGTGTATAGTCTACGTTTGGCTTCTTCGTAATTTCCGGCACTTTCTCGTAGTCCCAGTCGCTGGGAGTTATGTATGAAGATTGAATATTCTATTGCTGTGTGAAACACTTTATTTTTCCATAGAGGTGATACTGATGTAAACACAGAAATCTTCAGTACATTTTATAAATAAAAGGTATAAATACACGTTTTGTTGATTTTTCACATGGTTAATATAATAATATATTTTGTCGAACAATAATTGAAATGTTTTATCTTCACCTACGACTGGGGGAAAAATGATTCATTTTCAATGTCTGTAATAAAGTCAGAATTTCGTTTATTGAAGTCGCCATAAATATGCAGTTTTAATTCTTGTTCCATATTCGACATTATAGTTTCCACAATATGAAACAATAGTTCAAAAGAGTGCTTGTGGACATGTTCCGGTGGAAAATACACCGAAGAAAAAATGTGTGTTTCATCTGCAATAAGTGGTTTGACCCAGACATTTTCGAAATCTTGGTGCCTATTTGTTGTGATTTCTTCAGAAATAAAGTCAACATTGATGGCAATGAGCATTCCACCCCCAGACTTTTTCCTGTTGTGCTGGAATACAATAACATTTTTTCCAACATTTTATTCACTTCTGACGCTTTCGTCCCAGCTTGTTGGATTGTCCTGAAATTTGGATTTCAGGCTAAAATCTAACTGGAAATCTGAAAAAAATACTATTTAAAATAATAATTAATGAAAACAAATTCCATTACGACCAGCTTCGCCTCACTGTAAATCTGCGTGCCACCTTACGTTTTCTTCATCCGGATTGTCCTGCGAACGAAGGCTAGGGATGTGCAGGAAAATTTTGAAATCGATATTTATTCTCCTAACTTGCCCTAACATAGCCCTATATTCGATCATATGATTCAGTTTTCAATATGGCGTGCTCATAAAAAAACATTTTTTATAATAGCTTTTTTGTTTCTATTTTTTCGAAGAAGAGTTCTTCTTGGTAAAGAATACAAAGATTTTTTTGACTATAGAATAATCTCTTATAGGGAAAATGGATGTAATGTCGGCCTAAATGCCCCTAATTTGGGCCCATACATATCAATAATATAAATTTTCAATAGCAATCGACTAAATTTTCAATAGCAACCAAAAATAATCATTAGTACCGTCCCAATGACGCGTTCATCTGGATACAATTGATATATAGCAGATTTTTAGCGATGGGCCCAATCTGAGATCCATATGCCAACATTAGAGCCATTTCCCCTTTATAATTTCTTCAAATTTAAAAAAATCCAGGGTTGTAGCCCAGACGGAACCAATAAATTATGAGAAAAACCGAAGAAGCCGATATCTCAGAATACCAAAATAAAATGTTTAGCAAAAGTTGGTTAAAGCTGGTCACCTTGTTCACACATTTCGAAAATTGTGTAAACACTTGCGCTGGAATTACCCATATATGTAGAAAGTGGTCCCAAAAAGAATGTCGTTTGGGCAAAAAAGAGGTCGTTAAAAAGAGATGAATTTTTGACTCAACTTTTTAAGATTTTCATGAAACTTTTCAAAATTATTTGTTATGGCAGTCATTCACATTTTTGGTAAAATTCAGCCATTTAGCACCAAAACGTCACTTCTAATCGAAATGAAATTTTAAACGTCATATTCAACTTTTTTTCAATGAATCATAGCACGAAAACGTCAAAGTTATACGAAAAAATGAATTTCTAGGAAAAAATAGGGCCTGCGCTATCGACGGATTTGGATTGAAAAATTAAATGGTTCCACCCAAGATGACTTTTAAATTTATTTCCCTTTCCTTATGTGTTAGATTGAGATGAAGTGTCTCAAATTGATGTGATACTGTTATAAACATAGCACAAACATAGAAATTCAAAAATTTATCCAAAACTTCTTATACTACGATTTTTTTTTTGATTTTTAAGTGTCTTAGATATTCAATATTTAAAAAAAAATAGCATATTTAGTTTTTTTTTTTGCAAAAAATAGAATATATTGTAGAAGAACATTTTTTGTTCATTTTTTTCATTTTCATGGATTGTTTTGTCAAATACGCCATTGTGAATGATAACAAAAAATGTTGCAACGTTTTATGCAAATCGGAGAAGGACGAGCCATTTGGCGTGGAATTGCTCAATAGCTGTCGAGGCAAACCAAGTGAAATTATGATACTCTTGCTTTTAAAAGAGTGATCAGCATCCCATATTTGAATGGGATGTAAACTGATAATTCATAGATATTTTTCTATACCTACTACTAAGGGGAATACCATTTGTAAAAACAATGACCCTGTTTAACAAGTAGCAATGTTGCAGCACATAATGCTCCAATACATAACTGTACAGATGCAATGGATAGATTGCCGTTTGTTTTCTCGTCGGATCAACACGCAACAGATCTTACAAGAGGAAATTTCACTCTTGTATAACAGCGACGACATAATTTTGGAGCAACTCCTACGGGCCTCGAATTTATTGCATGTACCGTATACGCCCGTTGTACAAAAGTGCTGTATTGCATCAACTCACACTATCATTCTTGTACTAGTAATGTGTAGAAATTCTCCCTACTGATTGCTCACCTTCGTCGTCTATCCCATTTGCCTTGCGAAAGTGGGAGCAAGGGTGCATATGAAACCTGTTCTTAGTTATGAGGATGTTTTCATACCAACGCCAAACAACACTGCAGAGAATAGAGCATGGTGATCCGTACATGACTTCGGCGCCCTTCTCGATTCATATCGATGGCCAGACCGGAACTTGTTCTACTCTGAAAAGTCCCGGAAGCAAACTGCATCCTTTCATAAGTATAAATTTTCCGAGCAGTACTAATTTGTTCCGATTCCCATCATACATTCTGATACATTGCTTTTCCTGTACGGGAGCGCCTCTCATCTGTGGCTCTTCACCACGTCGCTGCATTTCAGTCTTGCATTTGAACAGAACAGACATTTTGAAAGGGAATGCTCAACGGGGAAAATGTAAACTTCTACTTTCTCTCTCGCACACTGTCGATGCTATATTTCACCAGCCAACGATAAACGGAGGAAATGTACACAAAGTATAATAATACAATTTATCATACTTGCATAACAGCAACATCACGCCACACTTGCTCGCTTGCCCTGGGAAGACTCAAGCTAGCTTTTCCGAATGTCTGTGACCACCACCACCGGTAGCAAAGGTTTCGAGCACTCATGTTCAGCTTAGGGTAGCTTTGGGGGGCAATAAAAGGCTTTATAATGCTGGTCAGGCCACAGATACAATGCAGAGTTCACATAGTGATGCACTTCACAAATGGACACTGCTATTCACACGTTTTTGTGAACTTGTCCAAATGTACTGGTATCGAAGCATTTGAGCTGTAGTTTTTCTGCGGGACGGTGTTTTCTGCATCTCTGCTACGGAATATATGTACCTACGTCCAGTCCGACACGAAAATGGCCCGAGTGAATGAGTCAGGAGAAGGCGAGTAAAAAGGCCCAAAGATAATACGTTTATATTTTCCGTGATTTATAGGTGTATCCAACGTTATGAATGTTCCTTTATCGCCAGTATTAGCCGCATTAACACTTACGGTAGCGATTCTGTTTGCCGTAGTCTGCATCGTGCTGGTGACCATCTATCGACGACACGCTAGCAAGTAAGTTCAAAAACTACCGGATAACGACCACTTTCCCGTGGCCCGGAAAATCCTTTTGTCCTATGTTGCCTCACTGTAGTATGTTTATTATTACGGCGCATTATCGTTCATCTTGTTTATGTTATTTTCTGGGCTGCTAATCATTTCCTTTGCCTTTGCCACTATCGCTGTCGTTACAGGAACTCAACCAAGAAGCTAAAGTCTGCCAAAAGCGCACATCTCACCTCGACCCCGATAGACTGCCAAATTGACTCATCTGCACACCATCATCACCATCACCATCAGACACACGACCCAAATGGCATTCAGACGCCATTGGTGGACGGAAGTGGGACTCTAGGACGACGGAGTCCGCAAATGTCTGGCGAACCACCGGACGGGGATGAAACCGATCCGGATGTTATTCCCAATCAATACGGTAAGCATTATAATAGCAACTTTCTTCATTATATGCCTTATGAAAGTTGCATGACAGGCTCACATGACAATTACCAATCTCTGTGGAGGGTGACATTTTGATGAATGATATTTCTTTGATTGTTATTATGTGAATGTGCTTTAATTGTCCCTTCGCTTATGATTGGGTAAAGCACCATGGTGAGTGGTTGGAAGGAAGCAGTTTTACACACAATCAGAGATGTAATGGCGATAGCGTGTCAGCAACAGTCATAAAGGAGTAATCGTTGTACATGGAGCTCAATTAGCACACGTTAGTTGAGCTTGATTAGTTTTACCACAGTTGATATCTTTATTTTGAAGAAGGGAAAAAGAATTAAATTGTTCCATTTGCTAACTAGGCTGAATAGGTTTTAGTAACTGTTTGAGTATAGTGCCTCGACAATGATCTCAATTTGCCATGAAATCGTTAATCATTACGCATATAAAGTTACACCTAACAGAAATATACCGCATGAAACTAAAAGGTGCATTCGATAAAAATTGCACACACATAAACCCAAGTAACCAGCAAGCTTATTAATAGTCTTATAAGGGTCCGTTTTGCTGTATAAGGCTGATATACGGCTTTAAATTTTTATATTAGTTATATACCAGCATTATACAGCACTTTTTGCAAAAGGTGGGCTTGATGGTTACTTGGGATCAGCTGTAATGTTTTGACTATTAGTATAACATGTATACGTTATTAATTAAACAATCTTCACTGAAAATTAAAAGTTATTTGGTATAAAAGGTAAAAAGTTACAGCTATGTATCTGTGTGCTATTTTTACCGAATACACCCTTTATTACCCAAGCAGCACACTTCCATCGAAATAAGTTGCTATAACATGATTGTGACTGGAATAAGTAGCACACAAGTAACCACAATTAATTAGTGGCAAGTGTGCTGCTAGAGTAACTACTACTTATTCATTAGACTGATGCAAAATTTGACTTTTTCGCTCCACAGTGCTTAAATGATTTCAAATCGGGTCGTGATTAGCCTCCAAAAGTTACAACTCATTTGGCTAGAAACAGACTTCGCACAAACCATTTGAAGTTTACATGTAAATTACTATGGGAAATCTCAAATTTGTGTTCATTGCCTTCTAGTCTTTTTCCATATTAAGCTGCAAAACAGCTCAATAGCTATTCTTATAGAAAATTTTCTAAGCTACAACTTTGCTGGAGACTGTTTCTATGTAAAACGAGACAAGAAATAGTTATTAATTATTTAAGAGATTGGTAAACTTATGACATGATCAAGCAGCTGCTCTGTAGGCAACACTGTTTTTTGCAGTGTGACATAGTAGCCATATTTTTTGTGTCCTATTCAACGCCCCAGAAACACCAATGTTGCCTGCTGAGCATGATGATAAGATTGAGCATGATGATAAGACATTAGTGCATTGAACCATTGAAAACATTCGATCCTTGCATTTAATCAAAAAGTGGTCTTAAGCAAAGTTGTAGCTGGAAAATTTCCCACAAGTAAAGTTGAAAGTTTTTGAAGCAGACCGATATGGTGAATTATTAGATAGACATGAACAAAAATCTTGGTTTTACCATAGTAATTCCCATACAAACTTCAAATGGTTTGTGCCATCTCAGTTTCTCACCAAATGGGTTTAAATTTTAAGAGGTTAGTCAGGATCCGATTTGGAATCGTTTAAGTATTGTGGAGCGAAAATTTCAAATTTTGTATCACTCTATTATTCATCTTCTTAGCTACTACCACCCAACAGGAACATTACGGCAGCCTTTAAAGCTGTGCGCTATCTACAATCTACAGTTATGAATTGTGCTTTTAAAATGTACATCATTTGTACATGTGTAGGTGTGAAGTAAGTGTAATGATATTGTTCAATGCATAGCCGGAAAAAGTGTCACCCCAAATAATTTCTGACTCCTCGAACATTGTCTGTACTGTACAATAACTGCCAAGAATAATTTTACCGTATTTGTAATAATTATATTGATGTTGAAGGATGCCCCAGCAAAGTCTTCCAACAAATTAAAAACTAAATTTGATGTATGGTCAGGTTGCTATCCATTTTGGACGTTTTAACAGTTAAGGTATCAAAATTGAAAGCATAAACAATCTTCCGGTGACATCACTTTGAAAGGTAATTCTGCATTCTGTGAGGGCAAACTGAAAAATCAATTTGATGAAGATTTTTCCTGTTGATGTTCTGCCAAGGCAACAAAAACAAACTATAACAACATTTGAAGTTATTGATTTGCTGAAAAAATATACTACTGAAAACATCAACATTAAAGGCACAGCAATATTAAAACAAAATAAAGTTTAAAGAGCTATAACTATTCCTATTCCGGATGAAAATGTCTGAAACCTTGTATTCTGTTGTGTGTGTTAAGTATTCCAGACTTATCGTTATTATTTTAAGCATGTCTGAAAACCGTAACTTTTTGAAACTCCCTGCGGACTTGGGCCTCGAATTGTCCACAGGTGTATACATGAAAAAAAAAATAATCCTCAACTCGCTGCATTTCTTCAATCGGAAGGGGAATATATTCCATCAAGGAAAAAAAATGTGTTTCTTATGAAAGATGGATGGGTAGTTCACGGTTATTATCTTTTTTTCCCTTGATTTATTTTCCATCGATCTTGTTTTCCGTGCTGAGTACCAATGCTACCGACGCCAGGGAGGCAGCTCACACACCTGAACCCTACCTATCGACCAATCAACTCATGGACCGGGGACCGACGGCTTTACTTACTACTTACTACCGAAGGAAGGCGTGTTCAGGGATCTTTTGCCTAGCATTATACTATATATTTTACGATGGGTTAACTGAAAATTTAACTAGATTTTACGTAAGCATTTTATAATAAAAATTAATTAAAATCCCCAAAAAAAGCACTGTAAAAATCAAAAAAAAAGAAAAAAAGAAAACAATTGATTAGATTGATAATTTAAATACTGTACATGCATTATTCGAAGTCGCTTAAAATCAATATAAAAAATTATCAATTAGTAAACAATCGATTATTTCAGAATATCAGCCATAGTACCGGTGAAAAGATAATTTGAATCAGCGTTGCGTGGTAAATTGTAACATGACAGTGAAGTCAAATAGATTGCAATTTGTAGCCTGTCATGTCATCATAGTTACATGAAAAGCATTGAGTTTGAGTTTGTTTACAACTTATCCAATAAAGCGTAGCGGTTGCATTTTAATTTTTGTTTTGACAAATCGTACAGAAAGTTACTAATTGAAAGATTATTATGACTGCGCCGGTGATTGAGTGGTAAGCGTGATTGCTTTCTCTCCTTTGTGTTTCTGAGTTCAACCCCAGCCGAGGTTGTTGGGATTTTTCTGAGGTGAAAAATTCTCTGAGAAGGGAAGTAAAACCATTGGTCCAGGCTCATATGTTGCTGGAATCGATAGATTCCAGCTCCAGGTATGGAAGTCGCCTCTCTGACATTCGATTGCCGTTGGTGATTAATCACAAATTGGTCACACCTACCAATTGGTCGACGCACGTCACAAACAGATATATTTCTTCTAATCCAGCTGATCAAAAGTCGATCGTCAAAATCAATCAAAATAAATTTTTAATTGTTGCATTACATACACAAAAGGTAGTAGAATAATGTTATATTTTTTTTTCTTTTCCTCTGTTCGGGACCTAACACTACTGCGACCAGTAAATTGATCTATTGTAGTATATCCCGTGTCCTTAGTTTAGTGCATGTCGTATTACTCCATCACTATTGAGAAATGATGAAGTATTCGATTTTTTTTACAGTTGCCACTCTTGCATTTATCGCAAGGATCCGACTCTAATTGAAAGGTCCCGCTATTTATACCCTTCGGAGTGTTGAAACACCCTCCAAAGGCGCGCCCCTTTGTCAGTCAAAATTGGATTCCTTAGCAACAAAATTAAGGTATGACACCGATAATGACCATGCATCAGAACCCTAGTCTTAACCACTTCAAACTAGGGAACAACGAATAGAAGATTAGGAATCACATAAGTGAAGACGTAAAAACTAATTTTCTCCTTGTTTCAAGATCATCCTCGGTAGACAAAGCCGAGTCTTGTCACTATCAACAAGGCATAAAAAGTAACAAGGACTAAGATGTGTTCCTTAGATTACTGAAAAATTCTATTCTCCTAGTTTGAAGTAGTCAGGACTAGGAATCGGTGGTAGATCTTACATCCCGTAACGTACCACGAAAAGGTGATCTACCCACGTTACGGGGCAAATAATGTTATAAACTTTTTATGTCTAATCTCAGCTGATCTTGAGAGTATCAAAACCACAATGTAGAAAATCAAGGCTGATTTTAACCTTAGCTGATTTTGAGGTAAACAAATCACAAAACGGAAAATCAGTACCTTGGTGCAATATGGGCACGGACAAACCGACATGAATGACCATAGTAAAAACAATAAATTTTCTGATCAAAACACACTACTGAAATCTGGTTCCATGTTCGTGGGAAATTTTTAGCTAAGCCATGAACCCGTATGCAAAAGTTATGAATTGAGCATCAAATAAGACGGTCATATAGTCAAGTGGTCACAGGCATCAGGTTGTGAACCTGATGATTTTGATTTCAAAACTTGTTTTTTGTTAAATTTTTATAATCAAAAAGTTTAATAAATGTTAAAGGTTCAGACATATTCAGTTTTTGTAGAAGAGTTTTTATAAAAATTTATTATGGAGTAGATGTTTTGATTTTTTTTTTGTACAGCATAATAAATGGAAAGGGGAAGGGAAATTTAAATGGTAAGTATTTCAAAATAAACATATAAACATCATAATTATGATTCTTTATCAGATTTGTAAACGTGGGTTGTAAGATTATATTTTTTTTTTAAATTATACCTTGCTTACGTTTAAGTTCGACTGCTTTTGTTAACGTGAAGTGACTTTCGTAATAAAGGCCAATGTTGCACAAACGTTCTGCGATCTTTCAGATGGTATCTGAACACTTTCACTAATGGTTCCGTATTATTGTAGATAATTTAAAGTCATATCTAGCAGGAATTATAAATGAGAACGTATGCACGTTAGCCAAAACAGATGACCGTTGGACAAATTTTCCCGGCTTTGTAAATGTAAAAATGGGTACTGTGATTAAAAATTAGTATTTAAGGAATTTGACTAAATTTTTCGTGAGTTTTTATTCAACAGCATGTTTTCGGCATAGGAAAATATAGATGTTGATATACATTTCAAAAGTAAATTTAATATAGTAAACCTTATTCAACCAACAAAAATGTTAAAAGTTGCATTTTTCTCGATTTCGTATTTCAGCCACATAAGCCAATTAAAAAGTTATGAATTTTTGAGATAGTCATATTTGAAAAAAAAAGGATTTTTTGGACCAACCAAAACGGATCTAATATTTTTCGATAGGAAACAAAACTATAACTTTTACGCAAATTCTGACAACCACTAATCGTTTTTTTAGTTAAAATAAAAAAAAATAGAAACATACAATGGTTTTTGAAGGAAAATTTCGTGAAGTAATGAAATTCGGAAGGCTTCAATAAAACAGCAAACAAGGGTATTCTTCCATTTAATTCCATTTAAATAATGTTGGTATCCATGACGTATTTCGACTACAATGTGCAGTCTTCATCAGTGTCATTCCCACTGGGAAAAATTTTGCTGAAAAATTTAGCTTAAAATATTCGCTACAAATATTTTCAATTTTCATGAGTGTTTTTTAGCGGCACTGGTGGTGTAGTGTTAAGCGTGATTACCTCTCACCCTATCAGGCCTGGGTTCAATCCCAGTCGGCGTCGCCGGGATGTTCTGACGCATAACATCTCTGATCACGTAAAGCCGTTGGTCCTCGGTTCATGAGTTGATGGGTCGATTGGTAGGGTCCAGGTGTGGAAACTGCCTCCCTGGCGTCGGTAGCATTGGTACAATATTGACGGCAATCAAATCAAGAAAAAAAAGAGTGGTTTTCTCTCAGAGTATATTATTTAACTTTTTTATTTAAAGTTTACACTGTTCTCAACACTTCTTCTTTTGACGTCAACTTATTAAGAAACCCACTTTTCAATGTACAAATTTTGAATAAAAAGGAAGTTGCGGTTCCCCCGGGGAAGTCACCAATCCTCAACAAGAACCAAAACCCGTCGTGCGACATATAAAATTTCATCATTTTACAAAACTACACAGCAATAAATAAGTTTTAATATTACATCCAAGAGGATGCACTACAATCGTGTCGAAAATCTCATGTAATTTTTATGGCCACAACAATAAACAAATGCAGTAAAAGCAGTGTAATGTGAGTTCATGCACTGTATTAATGATAATTTTGTCCTTTTTGGCAAGTAATATTACACCATATTTTCGACACGATTGAAGTGCATTCACTTTGATGTGATATTAAAATTAATGTTTTGCTGTGTAGGGTGGTAATGGGCTTATTGACACTCCACGACGGTCACATGATCCCTCTCGCTCATATTCCGATGACCCCGGAGAAGTGGCCTATTTTCGACAAGAACCAAAAGCCATCGTGCGATATTTCAATCTTCATGGTCTTTCAAAACTCGGCCGGTAATGGTCTTATTGAGAGTGCACGGTTACACTGGCCCTCCGGTATATGTTTCGGTGCCCTAGGGGAAGTTGCCAATTCTCAACTAGAATAAAAACCATCATGCAGCACATCAAGCTTCATGATTTTACATAACTCGGTCAGTAATAGCGTAATGGAAAAAAGTATATTTGCAAAAAAAAAGTTTTTTTTCTACGATGCTGTGGATTTTTACAGCATGTGATGTCCGCGAAAATCCATCTAAAATTTACAACATTTTTTTAGAAATTTGTTTCGGTCATATAATCATAAACTCTACTTGTTGGCAAAATTTTATAAAATTCTGAGCCCAAACCTTTCCGATAGTAAAATAAATCCCCAATTCACATATCTCGTGATAGTTGATTTGCATTTAATTTTTAATAGAATAAAAATGAACTTTCTATGGTTTTAAGGTACAATGTAGGGAGAATATGTTTACACCTAAAAGTCTGTGGAATGAAGTAATTAAAGTTTCATAATTTTTCAATATTTTTAGAGCATCTATCCACTTTATTTGTTTTTGTATTTTACATATTAGAGTCGAGTTTGAGTTGAGATTCGATGAAAAAATAAATTAATTGAAAGTTAATGATATGCTAATTGCCTTCAATAATTAAATTGTTTTATACTTTTTCATGATTACAGAGCGACGACCACCGAAAACGGCGCTACCCACACCGCTATTTCGGAGTCCTTCAGCACGTCTTATCCACCGTAATGGCGGTGAACACTTGCTCCACGAAGAGGAGCGCCATTGTGATGGATCCAGTTTGGCTTCACTGACCGGATCAAACAATGAAGTACATCATTATTCTTTTAAGCCTAGCAAACAAATTGTAAGTATATAATTCCTAAGATTTCTCATTCCAACCGTACTACCCTACAGCATATGACCTTCGGCTGGCGTGGGTTGTGTTTCGATAATGTGCATTTTTGTCTCTATAAAAACAATCAAATAAATTACAATCAATTACGTTGTCCATCGCCTATGAACACTTGTATTGGGAAAAAAAGCTGGAATCCCCACGTTGTGTTGTGATCGTTGTGGTAGGTACGGAGACGAAAATAAATAAAACACACTGCTTGGCGGATGCATATGAGGAACTTATTTATTGTAATGGTCGAGTGGGCAGGGTAGTTACACGTAAAGATGACAATTCACAAAAAACTCTTCTGACAACAACAACAACGTGATCCTTAAAATTTGTCCTAAATCTAAAAATATACTGATATTTTATTTGTCGAATTTTTGAAAGTTCATTCACATTTATTTTTATGTACGACAACAAATTGAAAACATCCAAGAAACCAATAACCAGAGTTTTCAACAAAATTTCGGTTCACCTCGATAATTTTTTTTTAAACTTTTTTAAATTAGCCATATTATTTAAGATTGAATAGATCTCATCCATATGCCAGTGGTGAAACGAAACTGAAACACAAACACTCGCAACCGATTTACTATACAAATAGAATGCCACGCGAATAACGCCACTTGACGTTGTGGGATTTCTCCCAAGGCCGAGTCTATTTAAATCTCCGGGAAAGTTGGGAAAAGCGAGAGCCGGCAAGATAAAACGTGCGCCCATGTCATTATTCATGGACGCCCACCCAACCCATTCATGTCAGACACCCAGGTGCCAAGCTTTGCCGTTTTGGCTTGCCGCATCGTCTTGGGATTCAGACACCAAATAAAGCACAAGAGCACAGCACAGTATAGATAGATAAAACAATACGCACACAAGTCGGACTAAGTAATGTAATAGAGTAAAGAAGAGTATGGATTTTGATCTAATTTCCGTCCTACTAAGCATAACCCGGACTTAACTTCCTTTTCCGAACGGGTATGAACCTAAAAATATGGTGATTTTACAATGGATGTCTTTCAAATTTATTTACCTTTCTATACGTTGTTGATATATTGTTAGAAATCTAACACTACTTCTTGAATCCAACACTGCTTCATGAATGCAAATTCGTTCTAAGAGTTTCAATTCCGTCCTAACGCATTGAAACGCCATTAATTTTTCAAAGTTTTTCTTCGTTCTACGAATGAAGGCATACAAAATTGATTAGCTAGGAACGCTGCTTTTGAAAAAAATAAGTGTAAATATTCAAACAATGCGCTTGTATAGGCTTTGTTTTGTAGCTTATAAGCTAACGCATCGGAACAAACGCATTATTGGGTTGTGCATGGTGGAATCATTGTTATTATTGATATTTTCTGCTCGATAGAACGGAAATGGGTGATTACGACGAAGTAGTGCACTACCCTACATTTTACAAGCAAATATAAATTCACAAAAACATGCTTTATTTTGAATAAACCTAAACTTACCGTTTTTCGTTATTGCAATAAATGATATCACTTTGAGTTTTCCCATAAAATGATTATGTTGACAATTAATCCTACCGATTGGAATGAGAGGAAGATAGTGTTTTCACGTTGTTTCGGATCCGTTTCGTAATACGCATTTTTAATAGAAACTAAGCGATCGATTCAACCTCTGGTGGTGAATAAGAGAATGTCAAAAAGAGTGTTGTGATTTCTGCTTTGTCGTGAGACGACATAGGAAGCGTAAATTTTTTTTAACTTTTCCTGATAAATTGATTCATCTGAGATACTCCAAAACATGATCTACAGCTGAAAAATTTAAATCTGTATCGTTTTTGTAATTATCCTGCTAGTGTTTAGGAATATTTTTGTTGAGAAAAATGGAACATTAGAATAGTGCTTTAGTGGTTATGATCTTCCGGATTTATTGTGGGTGAATAGATAAGGTACAACTCAGTTCAGATCTGTGGAAAATCGTAAAATAAGAAAATTACCGCTTTATTTTGCGTTGCGAAAAATCCCTATTCTGATTTAAACAAACGGTTGGGTCTACGTTTCCTCTCGAACTTGCCTGGTGCCTTCTACATTATAGTCGCTATATTCATAGTCTGGTGGATAGAATCTCAGGAACCAATTGAGCTGTCAAATAGCGCAACCAATCTAGTAAATCACGACCAACAACAGAAAAGAGCACATCAGCTATTGCGAACAAAACTTTGGAAACCCTTTTCTCGTGACTCAAGGCTCGCCTACGCAAACTAACACCATCTTTGGGTTGGGGAAAGTTTCCCCTATCTGATGATGCAGGTAATTTGCGTTCGATTGGTGAGAAAAGAACAATCAACGGTTTATTTATTAAAGTTAGTAGTACCTTTTCAATTGCTGGGCTAATTGGTTCCGCTTTTTGATAGATCGAAATTCTATCCGCAAGTCTAGAAATATAGCGACTATACTCTACATTGATGTTGCATTGAAAAAGACTATTCTGTTGTTGTCTTCCGCGTGGTCGAAGACTTTTATGTTGCGTATCTCTTTTGCTGTAGCTGCGCCTCTGGTGAAAAAGAGGTGGAACTGCCGATGAGGAGAACTTGACATGTAGCATCGTTTTAGGATTATGTGTTCTATTACCGGGAAATTTGGAGACATATTTCGATGAGGTGATAGATAATACTGTTTCGCAATAAGGGTACCATCCAATGTTGGTGGTATTAAGCTGGCTAGGTGGTGTAGTGGTAAGCGTGATTGCCTCTCACCTCAAAAAAAGGCCTGTGCTTAATCCCAGTCGGCACTGCTGGGATTAAACCCAGAGGTATACAATTTCTGATCACGAAGGGAAGTAAAGCCGTTGGTCGATAGATAGGGTCCAGGTGAGGGAGCATTGGTGCTCACTACGGAAAACAAGATCGAAGGAAAACAAATCAAGGAAAAAAAAGCTCGATCTTATCCTTTTAGGAACATTAACACTTAGACTCATCCTGAGGCTTATTCGGACTAACTCAACTTGGCATGCGGTTTCCTTTACCGGAGTGGTGCTAAAGTCACATTCTCACCCGAAATCGGGTAGTATTGCCGACCTCATCATTTTTTGAATGTATCTCATTTATTTGGTTCAAATTAAAGTAAACACACTGTAGTTTGAAATTTATTTTTTTTTATATTTTTTCAAAGTTTTACTTGAAATAGGGAAATTTACGTATTCTCGTCAATCTAAGCAGCTTCCGCACATCTATTAGCATTTTTTCAATGTCACGCGCACATTTGACGTGTCTGTTTGTTTACATTTATCTGCTGCTAGCTATTTTATCAATTCCAATCGACAGAACTGTCCAAAACGGTTTGAAAACGTTTTTAAGGCGCTCCAAACTTCTCAGGTGAGTGTGATTATTGTCGGCAGCCTCTTTTACTTCGGCAACCTTTTCGTTTAAGGGGAAGCTTACCGGCCCGAAAATAAAAAAAATATTTTCGGTACATTTTTATTTCTTTAAAAATATTGGGAAAAAATATCAAAAATCAAAGAAAATCAGTTTGTTCCTTAGATTTTTGTCAAAGATTACATGTAAAATTTTTTTCTATCTCATCATGAAAAAAAAATTGGACTCTCAGCAAAACCGAAAAGTCGATGTTTTGTGGTTTTTTGAGTCCAATTTCATGCCATAATGACTTATAAAAAATGTTTTGAACGTGAATTTTCTTTGAAAATTTAAAAAAATATGTGATTTTCTTAAAATTTTGATATTTTTTTCCAATATTTTTAGAAAAATCAAAACGTAATTTTTTTTTTCGAAGCGGTGAGCTTTTCCTTAAACTGTGTGTTAACCAGCTGTTCTATTATCGGAAACTCGAAATCAGCCGTATTTTGATGTGCTTATGTTTCATTTTAAGAAACACCTGGCATAACAGGTTTGCTCAGTGGTAAAAATGTTTTAGGATTGAAGCTGAAAGACATTCAACGAAGTGTTTTTTTTTAAAGAAAATACAGCGAAATCAACATTTAAAATGTGGTTACCGAAAACTGTTGTTGGCTGCCGAAGCCATAATTAACCCTACTTAAAAAAAGGTTTAATAAAAAAAATAGGGTTTGAAAAAACCTGAACAAAAAAAGTGACCACTTGATTTTGGCTCCAAAAAGATATATTTAAGTAAAAGAAAAGTATTTTAATAATTAATTTAGGAGCTGATGCACGCGCTTTGGCATGTTCTACACCAGGTTCTTTAGGTGCTCTGGATTTAGCTCTTCCCAAGTGCGCTTTAGGGCTTCAAAATAGTTATTTTTATTGGTAACACAAGTTTTGTCAACCCTGGCATCGAGAATCACGAGCCACCAATTTTCGGATACACAAGGAATTTTCTTTCGAAATCACTGCGTTCTCCATTTTTTTTCGTTTGCTTCAAAACCAGGCACGTAGCCATGGGGGGGGGGCGCTATGGGGCTGAAGCCCCCCCCAAAATTATTATAATCATGTGAAAAAAAAATCTGACCCAAGATAATGCATATCTGTTACTTGTACTGTACAGGTAACAGATATCCATTACCTGGGTAAGGTTTTTTTTATTTTTCATATTATATTAAAATAATTTATGGACGAGGCTTCAGGCCTATAGCCCCCTCTGGCAATGGAACTCGGGCTGTACCTATATAGTGTGCATGAACAATTTATGTTTGCAGGGATTCTGTTAAAGATCATGGGAGTCATGGGACCATCGAGTTTTTATGAAAGATCAGCCTCGTTTCACTTCTGTAGGAACTAGGGTGTAGACCCAATTTGTAGCCTTCTTAACACAATCCGCACTGTACCCCTCTTTTTTAAGCAGGATTTCATACAAAATAGAATGTTGCTACAACAAATGACTTCTTAATTTATTTACCTTTCCATATGTACCATTGGATTTAATAAAAAGTGTATATTTAGATTTTAACTCTTTAATTCTTCAAAATTCAAAATAAATTACTTTTCGTTCTAACCCACGGGCTCAAGCCACCTAGTAACTTATCGGCTGTAA